TTCCAGCCAGAAGAGGCTCCCCTGACCCTACAGCTCAGACTGATCCTCTGTCCTGTGTAGGTCTCTCCCACATCAGATGTCCAGGTTATGACAACTTCTGGTTTCCCTCCTTGTAATCAGCATTAGTACATTTATTAGCTGAATGTGCAGGAAACACAAAGGAAATGGAATCTGAGACATAATTATTATTATTTGCTTTTTACTCACCAGATACACTGAGATACAGAGATCCAGGTTGAGACTGAATTACTGAGTCACTTCCTCTTTCTGCCTGACATATATATTCTCCACTGTCAGATACTTTAGCAGACTGGACAATGTAGTTCTTCTGTGCTTCTGTACTTTGGTGAGTCAGACTCTGCAGTCCTGTTTGTGTGGTTCTTTTGGCCCATGAATATCTCCATCCAGATCCTCCTCTTATATCACATTCAAGGGTCACAGTTTCTCCACTGAACCACACAGGTCCTGGAGGATTCTGACGTATGACAGCCTGTGCTACATCTAAAAAAATGCACAGTAAACAAAAAGAAAATATCATTTTAGACATTTATGTTTTTTTTCTATGTTATTATGCACTTTGTACAATGTGACTGTTTCTCTTTTAATAACTTACCATGCACTTGCAGGCTGTGATAGTTGCTGAAAGAATAATGACCTCTCTGTCCCATACACTGATAAAGTCCTTGGTCAGTCTTCATCACAGGTTGCAGGATGTATGTTTCACCATCTTGCCCACTGCTGCCCAGAAGATCAGAGATGGCTCCATTTGTCTCTCTGGTCCAGAAATATTTCCATCCCTCAGACCCAGTGACCCGACAGGTGAGAGTAACTTTCTCTCCTAGTAGCACGTCTGACCCTGGAGGATCTGCTGTCAGCTGAGCCGGAGGCCAGGACTCTGGGGCAGGAACCAACGTGAAAAACATCATGTAACACATATATATATATTTTTTTTTAATTGTAATTACTATCATTTATCCATCCATCCATCTAGTCAGCCAGCAAAAATTATATACTCAGATGAAATGTGGTGACATACAATCAACGTAATAAATTAAACTATTAAATATCTTATCATATTTTGCCTGTCATCTAACGGGTGGCTGTACTGGTTGCACCAGCCTAACAATGACTCTGCTGACAACGACATGGGAGAACATGCAAAATTAATAAATGTGTTTTTTATTTTTGAAGCCACAGTCTTACCTGCCAATCGGCTAAGGTAAACCAAAGCTGTGAAATCTAAGATGGAAAAGTACAGAGAAAGTGAATTCACAGTCATTTACTTTCTCTTTATCTGCATAATGCTGTGTCATTTTTGGGAAGTAATGACTGTTTGATATTCACTTCATTTAAAAATAATTTCTATCACAAAACAACATGAAGTATGAGCAAGACATAACAGACCACTGTGCTTTTCAAAATGGTTCTTACATTTCAGATATTTCCTTTTTATATCCATTAACCACATATTAAAGCTGCACATTAATAAAGTATTAACATCTTACTTACAGGTCCATGGAAACGTCTCACACAGCCTCATCTTGCTCTCATACCAGCAGCTTAATGAGAGACCTCAGCTGAAGTAGCTGCAGAGAGGAAATGGTGGAAAAAAACATCTGCTTTGAGGTCAACAGTGATGCACACAAGTGTCAGATGTTAGTTCAAGTCTGTTTTTCTCTTATGCAGTTTTTCTTATTATTAAATGCTATAGTCATCTCAGTTTTGGAGAAAATGTACAGTAGCAAACTGTGGTTTACTTTACTAATAGCCCATAACAGGATTAAGAGTAATAATAGTGTTATTGTCTTTCACATTAGCTCTGCCAATCAGTCCTACACTTGTCTGTATTGCTATCAAGCTTATCAGCAAGAGTACCTTCAATCATTCTACACATCTTTAAACATACATGCTTTCATGTAAAAATTTCCTCTCATGTCCATTAGGTGCCTATCTGGTTCTGGCTTGGTTGGTGGAGTTAAGATCATAGCATTCTCTATTTAAGTGGCCCTCAAACTACGGTGCATGCACCACCAGCGGTACTCAGAGTGGCCCCAGGTGGTATGTGAGACGAGTGGTAATTTCTTGTGCACCATGAAAAAAATTGAGTTCAGTGGAAAATCACTCCATATAAAAGCACATTTACGTAGTTGTTTTCAATTTTTACATTCTGTGTTATGGGGCATTTGGGGAGGATTAATGTTGCCTGCTCAAAAAGTGGTGCAGTTTCACATAAACATGCGTTTTGTAATATTCACTTAGGTATACAGGTATAACAGCAGAGAAGCTGACAGGTGCGTCACCTGACATAAACATGCATTAATGTCCCTGTTGGATTGATGTTGAATCGGAATCAAATCATTGGCTTGTGAATCGGAATTGATGCCAATATCCAGCCCTATTGCCTGTTTTGGGGGTGGCTCAGGGTTAATTAATGGTTGGACTTTATAATGAGTTATACAGTATAATGAGTATAATGACTCCAATTTTCAAATATATATACACAATTTTCAAATTAGTATATTCCAACCTTATTTCAGCATTAAGTGACCAATTTCTAAATGTAATAC